CCCCTTTTGGGGGCCCGTCCCGAATCTAGGCTTTAAAACATTCGGGCCCAAAACCCGTAGATCTACTCATGAGCTCAGCTCACTCTGATAAATTGAGTGGTACATTTGGGCCTAGATAGAAAATACTTTATGGGTATGTGTAAACCACATAAAACAATCCGAGCACTTTGTATAATGAAGAAAAAAACTGAAATCATGATTTTTTCGATTAAAACAGAGATTTGCGTGTTTTTTTGTATGTTTTTTTATATTGTTTTTGCGATTTTTTGGGGTCTCTTTGATAGAATGGAAGACATATTACAGAATAGAGATGATTTTGTTTGGGTTTTTTGGACTAAAAGGGCTTGAAATGAGCTAAAAGTGCAGAAATGTTAAATTTTTGCCGAACAAGAGAAAACAAAAGACCTCAACTCTACACACACCGTGGGGGTCAATATGCATTTTACAAAATGGTGATGAAAATTTTTAAAAATTATTACAATATTTCATAAAAGTAAATTTCTATTTTTTTGTGAATAAAAATTCATTTGTGAATAAAAAAAACAAAAGGAATTCTTTGTAAAGCCCCAAAATGTAACTAATGAACGAGGAAATGTTGTTTAGTTCCAGGAACCCACATTGTTTTATTTTGGACCCTATTTTTTAAATTGGAAATTTGAACTTTGTGTTAATTTTGGCCAAATTTTTCAATTTCCGATCACTTAATTTGTAGTTGAAACAGTTTAATTTGCGATTTCCCCTTTTGCCAAACGTAGAAAAGAAGTAAACTAGTGAAAAGCTAAGAATTTTTGGGTTTACTGGAATAATGTAAATTGGGATAAAATGGGGGTCAAAATCGGCAAAATCAGTTCGTAATAGCTGACACTAAAATTCGCGAAGCATAATTTCGTCATTTTCCATCAAATTTTGTACTTTTTTTTTTATTACCTTCACAAAAAGATTCTCACCATTTATAAGAAAAAAAATAACAAATTTTTTTTTTGAAAATTCTTGGACACTGGGGCACCACTTCAGTTTTGGGCCTTGGACCCGAAAGGGTTAAGGAAAGTGTGAAAAGTGGGTTAACTGCAAACCTTTAGGGATAAAATCCCCCTGACACAGCTACTTAAACCCTTTGGCAACCTGTAAAGACAACGTTATGGCCCATTTTAGGGAAGTTTAACCCCCTTTGGGCCAAGGCCAAAATTTTAAAGTGGTGCTCCAGTGTCCAAGAAATTTTAAAAAAAAAAAAAAATTATTTTTTCTTACAAATTAAAGGCAATTTTTTGTGGGGTAATAGCAAAAAAAAAATTCTGATCAGTTTTTACTGGATACATCCCAAAAAAAATTTTTCAAAAAATGAGTGGTGGGGGCAACACGACAAATTTCCACAACGCGCATTACAATTTTTTTGCATTTTTTGTTTTTTTTTTTCTTTTTCTTTTAAAATTTTTTTTTTCTATTCCTACTAACATTTGGGGCCCTGAGAGCCCAAATACTGTATATAAGAATATATAAACTCACTGTTTTGAACACAAAAACCGCACTAAAGTTATTACTTTATTGTTTACCATGTTTTTTATTACAAAAAACATGCAAAAATCTTGATAATAAATTTTTCTATCATATATTTCCCTTTTACAATCACTGGACATCTTTTTAGAACTGCTGGACTTGTGGAACTCCTTGAAACAAGGCACCAGCACAGGGCACCTTACTTTCCCTCACACATAAACCGAGTGTCTTTGCGTTTTTGTTGCCGTTTTTTTGTTTTTCCCAGATGATGCTCTCTTCTGAGCAAATTTCTTCTAAGTTAAAGGGAAAGTTTATTATGAAATGATCACCTTCCTCCCAAACGTTTGGGTAATCCTGGGGAATTCGGGGACCGGGTTGTATAGCAGGTTTTTCCCTGGTACTTCATTATGATTGTCTGAAACAGACAAACAAAATTCACCATACGGGGGTTTCTGTTCCCCCAGTCTTTATTTGGAATTTATATGCATTGAGCATTGAATGCCCATGGATGGAAAAAAATTTTTTCATGTACCATTGTAACTCTTACGAACACAGTCAACAAAACCAATTGCATGTCACTTTGTCAACCAAGCCATGTTTTGTTATAAACAATCACTTCATTTTTTTTCGAAAACTTCATTACCCCCCCTCATCAACTTTGCCACTGTCTTGCTTTTCTTAGGGGAAGGGTTTGAAACAAGTGACTCTCGTTGCATGCCCCCGTAATGCCATGAGTCATTGGCGAAACATGCACTTTATCCCCACGGCACCTGCGTTGACCCGGGCATATTTTTTACGATTAGAACCACTGTGCCACACACATGTTTTTCACTCCCTGAAATCACTGAGTAATGGGTTTGTGCCCCAGTTATCGGTAATAAAATGTATGCCCCTTCCCAAGAAAAGGTCCATCTGTTTTCACTCGCCCTGAGATACCCAATAACATCTTGGTATTTTTTCAATTTTTTTAACTACCCCCGTGTATACAACAATATCCAAACCAGGCCACTGTCACAATCACCGAGTACAAACAGTTTTATCCAAAGCGTTTCCTCTTGCCGGAAATACTGTTTGAAGACAGTCAAAACCTTAAAACAAAATCAAAGATCTTTAATTACAAGTTTCTTGAATGGATAAAAATATGCTGAACTTTTGTTTGTTACATGAAAAACATTTCTAATTTTGTATAACCTGTCCCTTCTGTCGGGCCTGGTTTTTTCAGAAAATGCAACATCGAAGAGAAAGATAAACCTTTCACTGGTATGATTTCATGGACCGGGGGTAAAAAATTAGCCATCTGGGACCAGTATGTTTTTTATATTAGCTTATAGACGTGAGGCATAAGCATTTTTGTTGCAAAAAGCAAATCATTTTTGCAAAGCTCTCTTTCCACCTGTGTAGCTTACTTGGGATAAATTGTATTTGCCATGGGTACTCAAAAAACTTTTTACTTTCCCTGACAATAATTTCCATCGTGGTGGGGCAAAAATAATTCAAAGAATTCCCCTTCTTGGCCGTGGTTTCCCCAAGGGGGCAAGTAGTAGAATTCCCACTTGGAAAACATCAAAAGTGGTGGGCTTGGGAAAAAAAATTGGATTTTGCTGCCCCAAACCCCATACATTTGCTGGGTGGATACTGGACATCAAGGCGGTTGTGCGGGTGGGGGTTTTGGTTGTGGTGGGCTGGTGGTGGCGCTCCGCTTTGCCTTGAACTGACGAGTCAGCAGCGGGGTCCAGCGTGGCCCGGTGAGTCACGCATGGCGGTTTCCCTACCACACCACTTCACCTCCACTGATGCCTTGGCTATCCTCCAAGTGTAGCCACCATCCCCTATCCTACCTAAAAGGGGTTGGGGCCCCGGGAGTACTCCAGGATTCTGTCCCCCGGGCACAGCATGGGGTACACTACCCGAGCGCATGCGGCGGCGAACACACCGAGCTTCATGGTGAATATGATTCCCACTACACTACTCGATGATCGTCGAGCGCAATAAAAAACACAGTCCACTCACTATATCATTCTGAAGTCAAGGGCCGGCCCGCGAAAATATTTTTTTTCTCTTGCAGAGGAAAAAACCCACCGTGGCACAGTGCCCCCCACCAAGGTAGAAAATGAGCTCAGGGTTTTCTGCACTATTTCATTCCTTATTCTTTTCGGCCTAAATATAAACCAAATTCTCTTACCCCCCCCAAACTTTAAACTTCAAAAAAAGGGAACCAATTTTCCGGGGGTTCTGACTTCGACGGGCATGGGGAAAAAAGGGGGAACTAGCCCGGCTTCCCCAAGCTATGGGGGGCCAATTTTTTGTTTAGGGCCCACCCACAGCAGGGGCCCTTCCCACATTAGGGGGCCCAGATTTTTTTCGCGCTAAATTTTTACGGCCTAGAATTTGGGATAGACTATTTTGGCATAACTAAAAATTGATCTAAAGGGAAAACCCTGAAAGGGTTAAAGGAATGGGAGGTATAGAGCCTTTATGGGCAGATTTTTGTGCGACAGAGGTCCAGTGACTTTCAAGCTGGGCCTAGTGGCATTAAAGAAGAAAGGGGAAGTAACCCCGGGAAAAGGACTTGCTACCTCAGTCCAATGGAAGGGGGTATCCTTCTAAACAATAATTAGGTAAATGTCATGTATTTTATTCTTAGGGTGTAACTGTGCATGTTTTTTCGTTTGTGTGTTGTAAAAAATTAATATTTCTTTTGGTTTAAAAAAATTTTTTTTTTCATACTTTGGGGTGTCAGGAACGAATTTAAATTTGATTTCCATTATTTTTTATTGGAAAATTAATTCGGCTAACAGTAATTTTGGTTTCGATGACTCTCAGGAGCGGATTTAAAAATCTTAAGGCGGTGGCCCCTTTATTGACTGTACACACAGTTAAAAAAATCTTTTTTCAACGTACCCCCAATCCCACGAGGTGGGGTGGCCCAAAAGGGAAAAACGAAAGTTTCTCCCTTTTTAAAATTTTTAACAAAACAGGGGAAGGGTTACCACTTGCCCTGGGATTTTTTGTTTTTCCTCTTTCGGGCCACAAAAAATCATGTATATTGCAAAAACATTGAAAATAAAGGAGGTCCATTTTATTTTGGGTTTTTCTTACAATATTTTTAAAATGAGTAAAACCCAAATTTGTTCCAAGCAGTTTTCACAGGCAGCACACGTGATTTTGGGGAAAAAAATTCTGACGTCTTTTGCCTTGGAAAGAAGGGGAATGTCCAGAATTGAAAAATAAAAGAGGAGATGGCAGATAAGTGTAGAATGAATATTGTAAAAAATAATATTACCTTTAATAAATGTTCAAGAACAGAAAAGAAAAACCCCCAAATCTCTCAGTGCAGAAATTTTAGTTGGCTTCCATTTTTATTTTTTTACAGCAAACAGTGTCCTCTGGATGGCATTTTCCTCCCATTTAATATGGGGTTTAAATTTTACGTATTGAAAATTTGATCTTTTTCGGAATGGGATATAACCGAAGCTTTGGTGGGGGCTTCTCGGAAAATTTTGAAGTAAATTTGGCAGTCTTATCTCGACATGGTCCGAATCTGAGAATCCTGAGTGTGCAGATATTTATCAGAAGTTTATTACATTGTATGAGATCCATGATCGCTACTCTGGTAAGATAAGTTTACCTGCACCTTTTGCCAAGAAAGTTAGTGAATGGTCAAAAGGAGACAAGAACTTTGTAAAAAACATTCATCACCAGGTACTGTGCATCAGTATACAAATAAATTAATGTTAGCATATTCAGAGAAAATTGTTGCAGTTGAAAAATAAGTAGAGTGTTTACTTGGCCAGAATATGTAAATATACAGTGGACCCCTGCATAACGATTACCTCCGAATGCGACCAATTATGTAAGTGTATTTATGTAAGTGCTTTTGTACCTGTATGTTTGGGGGTCTGAAATGGACTAATCTACTTCACAATATTTCTTATGGGAACAAATTCGGTCAGTACTGGCACCTGAACATACTTCTGGAGTGAAAAAATATCGTTAACCGGGGGTCCACTGTAATAGCTTTAAGATTGCGGAGCAAGCTGTGAGCCAATACAGTAAGGTACAGGTTGACCATCACTAATCCAGCACCATCGAGACCTGGAGGGTGCTGGATTAGTGATTTTGCTGGATACAGAGTGGTTAGGTTAGAATACACTTAACCTAACGGTGGTATTTACACATCAGAAATTTCACCCACTTTACACCCTATTTTTGGTCCATTCCATTGTTCCAGGAATACTAGCTGTTTCGCTAGTATTCCTTCTGTTCTGTTGATTGATTACAAGAAACTGCCTGTTTGTGTATTTCAACTACCCAATTTGGACAATTTCACACAAATTTCAAGAGATGCCAATTTCAAAATAGTCCAGAATAAAAAGTGCAGACATTCCTGGCACTAAAATAACATTTTCTCTGTCCATTTTAAATTTTTATTTGCACAAAATATAGAAGATTTACTGTTATGTAGACTACTGCATTATTGTAATAATTGTATAAATAATGTCAACCCATTCGTGACTGCGTATTAGACCAGCCAGTTGGATACGTATTTGATGGTGATGTCATTTGTTTACTCTTGAACATCAGCAAAAATCGAATATTTCCTCTATTTTGAGCTCAATTTCAAGATAATTTCCATCATGAAACCAATCAAAATCATATCTATTTCTGTAATATATCTTCCATTCTTTCAAATGAAACAAAAAAAAAACGAGAATACAACCATAAAAATCACACGAAAATACATCACAAAGTTGGTTTTACACCAAAAACACAGTCACAGTTTTTTCTCATTATGCACTGCGTGCTGCAGGATTTTTTTATATAGTGCACACATATAGGCCCAAATTTATCGGTCACAGCTTATCTGAGTGAGCTGAGCTCATCTCGACCGACAGTGGCTTCAGAGCCACCTTATTTTTCATGGACAATGTACGGTGTATGTGCTTTACACAGTGAGAAGCATTTCTTTTATTTGTTGGAACCATGGCTAGGGCTAAAAGTGAGCAGGTTTATAACAATAAATGGAAAAAAGGAAAATTGGAATGACTTATGCAGCAAGTAGTGCGGTTTAGTGTGGTGACCCCGGAAATTTGAAATTATGCTATCCAAAATTAGTGCCGGATTAATGTGGAACCGGTTTAAACTGATGCTAAGTAATGATGGTTGACCTGTACTTAATATGGCAGGGTGATTAGTTATTATCTTATATGATGTAATAAGTTCACTATTTTGCCATTATATTATATCATAGTGATTATCTGTCCATTGAACTTTGTTCACCTTTACTTAATTTAGCCCCCTTATATATATTCTCCATTATTTTAGCTTTAAATAACTACCTCATTTCATATATTCAAAATTTGTTAAAAAAATCAAAGTGCTATCTCAGGGGCTAAAGTGTAATAAGTTCACTATTTTGCCATTAAAATACTCCAGGTGCTATACACTACCTCAGGTTGCTACTGATTTTACTTTTAATACATTCTTTTACTATTATTATCCATTAGCTCCTTTATTTTAACTGTAAATATCTACTGTTGTTTCATAAACTCCTTGTTAAAATAATTAAGGTGCTATTAAGATACTTAAGTGTATAAGTGAATTATCAATTCTGTAATAATCCCTTTTTCTTTTCAAATTTTTTACAATTTTTAGTTTAAATTTTACTGTGTCTTAGTCATAAGTCTAGTTGTAGATTCAATATAAATCTTACATCTTTTTACTCAGAAAATCTTTTTTGAAAATTACTCTCATCCAATGTTTACAGGCATAGATCTGATGTAAACTTTTACTAAATGAATTACATGAATCAAACAGTAACTGTAATTACTACACAGCAGACCAAGCAAAGACTTTTACTCAGTGCAAACAATAACTAACCATTTTAACTACAATGTCGATCCTTGAGCAACATTAATGATGACCTCACGCATTACTCAGTTCCCTTCATTCCAATTTTATCATCATCACACTCCAGAAACCTGGCTTAAGCCTGATACTACAGTTTTTCTATCCCATTCCTGGCTACATGGCCATACACAACTGTAGAACAGACTAGAAAGGGGGGAGGAACAGCTATATACTATTCAAATCAACTCGAATGTATCAATAAATCTTGCACAAGGGATGAACATGGAGAATATATCATAGCCAAATTTAAATTAAAAGACCTGCAAAAACCCTCACAGTTAAAAACCCATCTACAGAGTACCACAGTCAAACATTTATCACTTTAGTGAAAAACTAGGAAACATGATTACTGATGCACACATGAATAAAGACCACCTACTACTAACAGGAGATTTCAACATAAACATACTACACGACCGGGACCACAAGTAACCAATTCACAAACACAATGAGTAAATGCCTGTTGCTACCAGCAATATCTAAACCTACAAGAATCTCCAAGACAAGCATCTCCTTAATAGACCACTCTGGGCAAACACCATACCCCCTTTAAAAATCGGGCATAATCACAGACAACACTACAGACCATTACCCAACCTTTCTCATAACTAATTCTGGGCAAACTACCACAAGACATTACTAAAGAACCTTCAGACTACATAACAGACAGCAGTTAAAACAACTTTATAGCAGCTATGAAAAACATCGATTGGCAAAATGAGTTGAAACATTACAGTTATGAATGAATGTATAAATAATTTTCTAAAAATCCCCAATGCCTCTATAACAGACATTGCCCAGAAAAACTAAACAGATCACAGCAAAGAGACTGAATAATCCCTGGCTAACCCCAAGCATTTCAAATCCATTAACACAAAATACAAATATGAAAACAGTAATAGAATGGGTCAAATAACTAGAGAACAGTCGAGAAATTATCGTCAGCACTTACCAGCCTGATAAGAAGGTCAAAAAAATTGTATTATGAAAATAGATTACTTAATATCAAAGGTGATATGAAAAAAACCTGGAAAACTCTATCTGAAATTCTTGGAACTAAAAAAAGTTATCCAAAAACAAAGCAATCAAAAACTAACAAAATCGATGAAACCCCTACTCACTCCAAACTAAAACAGCAAACAGACTTAATTTTTTTCTTCTCCACTTTAGGAAAAAATCTAGCAAACAAAATACCAGGCACAAACACCCGTCCATCAGACTACCTCATAGGAAGGAACCTACCCAAATATGCTATTCCTAGCTCCAACCAACCCACTGAATTATGCTCATCATAAACACCCTTAAAAACAAGGCAGGAGACATAAACAACTTGCCTGCTTTTATGTACAAAAACCTTCTCAAGTATTGTCACCAATTATTGCAATGCTCTTTAAAAAAATCCATTGATTTATCTACCTTCCCCCAACAATCCTCAAAATAGGGAGGGCCCCTCCGATCCTAAAGGAGGTGACCAAACTGACTTGAATAACTAGAGACCAATATCTAAATTACCACTGCTCTCTAAAATCTTTGAAAAATTAATTCATAGACGGATCTATTCCTACCTCATTTCACACAACATATTATTCTCTTGTCAGTTTTGGATTCAGGAATAATAAAAGCACAAATGACACTATCATACACAATTGCTAGAAACTAATTTTTACTGCACTTGAAAAGAAAGAAGTCCCGCTGGGCAATTTTCTTGATTTACGTAAGCTTTTGATACAGTCGCCATTTAACTGCTGTACTCCAAATTTAAAGCACTATGGTATCAAAGGACACTCCCTCAACTACCTAAAGTCATACTTTTAGTAACAGAACTCAGTTTTGTGTATGCAAATGATGCAAACTCCTCCACCCAACCAATCACAGTAGGAGTCCCACAAGGAAGCGTCCTTGGACCACTCCTCTTTCTCATCTATATCAATGATCTACCGAATGCATCACAGTTACTCAAACCCATATTATTTGCAGATGACACTACATATGTATTTTCCCACCCAAACATGGTCATACTAGCAAACACAATCAATGCCGAATTGCAGAAAATATCTGCCTGGATGATGACTAACAAACTTACCTTGAACACTGATAAAACCTATTTCATTCAGTTTGGAAACAAAGCTGCAAATGATCCAATTAACATTATGCTAAATGGATCATCAGTCACAAGACTCACAGAGGGAAAATTCCTAGGTATCCACCTTGACAGTAGCCTTAAGCTCCGGACACACACATACAACAAATCACCAAGAAAATCTCCAAGACTGTAGGCATACTATCAAAGATAAGGTACTATGTTCCACAATCAGCTCTCCTGGCACTGTACCATTCACTCATATACTCTTATCTTACATATGGAATTTGTGCATGGGGATCAACATCCAATCACCTAAAACCCCTAATAACCCAGCAAAAGGCAGCAGTAAGAATGATAACAAATTCCCACTTCTGCCAGCATACTCCACCAATTTTCAAAAGTCTGAATCTGTTTACTATTAAGAACATCCATGCTTATTCATGTACCTACTACATACACGGAACAATACACGCAAATATAAACCCCCCACTCAAACTTTTCCTCACCAACCTAAACAGGACACATGACCACAACACAAGACACAGATCTCCTTTTGATATACCTCGTGTCCATATCATACTGTGTAAAAACTCTATGCACATGATGGGCCCCAAAATATGGAATTCATTACCAGAAGATATTAAAGTAACCCAGTCTGAAAATCAATTTAAGACTCTTCTCAAAAGCCACTTAATCACCCTAGACTAAA